CTCTATTTTGAGTAGCCTCTTATTATTGTCATCCTTATAATTTATAAGATGAACATAATTAGAAACATTAATCAGTTGGTGGCATTTGATGATACATTTGTAATCTGGTTCAGAGTGAGTTGTTTTCATCAGTCATCATACAGACGAGGATATGGGCAGAGTCTTCCTAAACTCTGATGGAACATTTCAGAGAGATTAAGTTGATTTTAATTATTTAATCAGGAAATCTTGGGAGACTGGATACCTATTAATCAGAAACATCTTTTGGTTACAGAGAGAAAGAAGCGGTGGGGGGGGGGGAGATCCTGAGAGAAAGTCACATCTTTTCCCTTGAAATTTTGTAGGCTAATCAATCTGGTTTGCTTTTGTGAAAATCTCTAGAGAAATGTGAATCTCATAGACTTAGTAATAAAACGATAAAAGGAATGTAAGAAAAACCTTCACTCAGGGCTTATCTTGTGCTTTGCAGATATAAACTGAGGTTCAAAGAAATAAGGGATTTAGTTTAGGATTATGTATTATTGTTAGAAGGCGCCTTCTTGTGGGCCAATTTTGGGGCAGATTCATCCCTCCTCCCGCCTATTCAAGTGGGAGCACGGGGTCTATCACTTACAGTGAATGGGATTCTTACTGCTATTGTTAGAAATGATGTAGGTTCTCTTCATCTTTTCTTGTTACCATGTTCAGCAGTAAAAATGCCACTCACAATTTTTTTCCTAGCTTCTTTTAAGTTTTGATTTTCATTATTTGATGAAATAAAACAATAAGATTTCTGATACATGCAAAAAAGCAAATAGTGCCTAGTGCTGGTGTCTCATGCCTGTATTCCTACCTACTCAGGAGGCTGAGATCAGAAGGACTACATTTCAAGGCCAGCCTGGGCTAATAGTTTTTGAGATCCCCTCCATCTCCAAAATATCCAGAGCAAAATGTACTGGAGGTGTGGCTCAAGCACTGGAGTGCCTACTTTGCAAGCATTAAGCCACAAGTTCAAATCCCAGTCCCACCCCCCAAAAAAGCAACTAGTACCAATAAAATGTATGGAATTACCATGCTTGGAATGACTTTGGAAAGCTTGTCATTCCCTGTCACAGTTACAAACGTAAGTGCTTTATGTGGATGGGGGAAGAGAAAGAAAAACTGAGTGCAGAACTTTTGTGAAGTTGAATATTTGCAAAAAAGAAAAAAAAAAGCAAAGCTAAAAATTCTATTCAGTTCAACTCAGTTCAGTGATTGTATAGGTTTTCAAAACCAAGATGGAAAGAAAAAAAACATTTATGACACAAGGATTTAAAGTTAAGAATCAAAAGTCACAATGGAGATCATAAGTCAGTACCATAATTGAGAAAAAATGCAATAAAGATGGAGACTCTTTATTAAAAACAATTCTAGATGATTTTCAGAAATGTCTTATTATTTCATGAGCAAAACATACTTTCATTTTCCAGTTTATAAAGTCACCTAGCTTGCCTAGGAGCCCAGAGACTGAAGCCACAGCCTCTGCTCCTGGGTCAGGTTTGGTTTTCCTCATTTGTAGTCTTTCTCTCCAGGGTGTAAAAGAGAGCATGGCATAAATGCTGCTCAACAAATTTGCATATTTGCAAAAATAAAGGTGATTGGATAAGAAAGAAAATTTCTGGATCGAACTTTCCTTTCTCCTCTCTTTTCTTCCTTTTTCTTCTTTCTAACATTATCCATTATTTCTTAATTATCTTTGTAACACAGTAAAGGCATTGCTATTCAAAGTAATGAAAGTAGAAAATAAATATAACATTTACAATGTATAATATGTCAATAATCTAAATGTATAAATAATTTAAAAATTACATATAACTCTACCCTTGAAGTTTGGTGATGTGGGAAAAGGAGAATGGAGAGGTGACAGTAATCAGGGACACAAACGCCCATGGTACCTGCAAGCACATACACACTTAGGAAGTAGGGAAAGTGACAGAGGAAGAGATCCTGGTTTCTGAATTGCTAGCAGATCTGTATCCCTTTCTCCTGCTGTTCCCTTTGTCTCCAGCATCAGCCTCTGTTAATGCTTTTCAAATGCAAATTAGTTTCCATTCTTTTTGCTCCTTGGCCTCTGATATTTAGTGACTGTGCTCCACATGGGGTTGACAGAATACCCACTGGAGGGGAAATGTCCCATGATTCAGCTGCAGGGACCAAACACATGAACTTCTATTTCAATGGACCAGGCATGTTCTATCCTAAGTACTCAAACCACCTGGGGAGCCTGGACCTGTGTCCATGCCAGGCCTCACCCTGACCAGTTAGATGAGTGTCTGTGAGGTAGGACCTCTGATATCAGCTTTTAGAACTAAAAACCCTCTGCAGGGTTTCTAATGCAATACCAGACTCCTATGAGGGCTTTAGAATTTACCACAGAACATTTAGAAAATCTGAGGGAACATTTGTCTTTTGATTTTCAAATGAGAGGATTTTATTTTTGAAAGAAGCAATCATTTCCCTGTATTTCATTTTTTCTGCCTTTCTGAAGTTTAGTTTGTTTTCCTTTTTTTTACCCTGAATTATCATAACTTGATATTTCATGTCTCACAAATATCCTGCAAAGTTTTGGTTTCCTCTTGTACTTTGTTCTGTTCTTGGTTAACAGTACACATTGAACTAGATTCTATATTGTTACAGGCTGATTTTTTTTTATATATAGACTGATGCACTTCATTCTGACTATGAAGTGATGAGTTGATGTGTTTCCTCTCTGGCAAACAGATGGCAAATTGAATGTAGATCTTTGCTTTCTTCTGAGTAGCTGCTTCAGTGGGGATTATATAATAAATGCCACAAAAGCACTGCTCAATCAGAAGACCTGACATTAAATGAAGACAAAAAATGTCATAGTCACTAGAAGGTGTTTTGTCACAGGACAAAGAAGCCTCTGTCTCTCTCCATGCTGAGTTATTTAATGACTGACTCAGAAACACCTTTTATTTTATCCACTGAAAATCATCATAATTAAGTTGTCTATTCTGAAATTGGCAGGTTTTTTTTTTAACAATAATCAGTGAAATACAAGTGTTTAAAATATATTTTTGAAAAAGCCCAAGTGACTTATTAACCAACACAGGTGTTACCATCATAAAAGTCCTTCATTTCTTCCTTCCTGAGGTGCTCACAGTTGGCATGTTGCATTTATATAAAGTGTATAATACTTAATGTAAATGTTATATTTAGCCTTTTATAGATATCCTAAAGATACAAAGATTTAAATAAGGTTTGCCTTTCCAAACACATGCCTTTCTTCAGAAAGTCTTTTTCCTTAGAAACCTTGGAATTCTGACATTGCCTGTGTCAGGACTTTTCTCCAGGCTACTTGGCTTCATCTCTTGGTTGTTACTTGTTTTTTAGTGCTGGGGATCAAATTGGGGCCTCACACTAAAATAGAGACCCCATCTGAAAAATAAATGTAAACTTAATAGTAGAAAGGGCAGGGGATGTGGCTTAGGTAGTGCAAGGCCTTGAATCCAAACCCAGCACCACCCAAATTAAAATTAATTAATTAAAGACAGATAGGTAGGAGAGCTTGCCTCAGGTCAACTTATGATGAAGTTTGTCTTACAATGAAGTTTAGTAAACTTCATTTTAGCAGCGATTTGGAACATTTGGGATGAAGTGGAAATTGCCAGTAATGTGGTTTGTGTTAAAAGATTCAAGTTAAAAGATAGGAATTATCACAAATAATGAGCATAGATGGTCCCTGACTTTTGAAGGTTCCATTGAAGATTTTTTAACTTTCTAGTAGTGTAAAGTACGCTCCTGCAAACTCTCCATTCACGTTCAGTACAGCATTCAGTACATTTCACGAGCTATCCAACACTGTTATAATAGAGGCTTTGCATCGTCTCCTGTGTAGGCCAGTATAAGTGCTCTGAACACACTTAATGTTCACTGGGCTAAGCTATGATGTGTTTTTAATTTATGGTATTTTCAATTTAGGAGGGGATTATTAGGACATAACCCTATCATAAGTCAAGGAGTACCTGTATGCATTTCTCTCTTAAGTTAATCTGCAGTTTACCTTTACTGTCTGTTTCCAGGGAACAGCTGGGAGAGCATCATCAAACCAAACAGGCAGGACAGCAGGCATCTTCAGGTGTAGAGGGTGATGAGGGCCCAGGAGTGTTAAGCTGTGCAGGAAACCTTTCTGATCTGCTTTGAGAGTGATCTGTGTCCATTGCACTCTTTTGCCCTTCTTTTGTCTGCTCTCTACCTGTTTCTGACTCTTGGCTTTGAACTTGACATTGATTTCTGTGTCTCTGGCTTCTCTTCTGGATACTTACTCTTCTACCCACTTCCTGTGTGTCACCTGGCTTTGCATTATCTTCCCCTTCCTATCTGAAAGTCTGTTTATTTCTGACACTCTTGAAGCCGTCCTGCTGTGTTACACATCTAGGGTGGTCTTTGTCATCTTGCTGCTTTCCTGTTGCAATGTTGGTGAATGCTGGTGAATGTTGGTATTTCTGGGCTACAGAAAATGTCCTTTATTAAAAATGAATTGCCAGAGAGACAGAGGGATGATGAAGTATCTAAGGTATGTGATTTGTCTTCTGTTAATTCTTTTTAAAAACACAGTATATTAATCTTATTTTCTCAGGGCTTTTCTTCATAACTTACAACTTCTCTACTAATTATACTTCCAATTTCTCTTGAGAACAATAAATGAAAACTGGATTTTACATAACTAAGTTTATGCTAAAAATTGTTGGTTCCTTGAGTTATCTTGTTACATTTCATGGTTTATAAGGATATAAAAATTAAGAAATCACCAAAAATGATGCCATTTATTAATCTGAGTATGTGAGTATGTGTTTAGATATAGCTGTGAATTAGTTGTGGAGAAATTTCTTCTTACCTTGACCATGGTAACTCTGTGTACCTTGGTACTTGCCATAAGAAAGGTGTTATCCCCAGTTGGCTATGAAGAACATACAATTGATTATTCAAACTATTCCTTTTTCCCCCTTTATTCATAGAATTGACTCCAGAGGAGAGAGCCCAAAAGATTGCCAAAGCCATGCGTAAACAGTCTTCTGAAGTCAAAGAGAAATGGGACAGCCTGAATGCTGTGACCAGTAATTGGCAGAAGCAAGTGGACAGGGCGTTGGAGAAGCTCAGAGATCTGCAGGGAGCTATGGATGACCTGGACGCAGACATGAAGGAGGCAGAAGCGGTGCGGAATGGCTGGAAGCCAGTGGGAGACTTGCTCATTGACTCTCTGCAGGATCACATCGAGAAAACCATGGTCAGCACGGTTTAAGAATGTCTCATTATTAAATATAACACAAATAAAGAGCCATATCTATCTATCTATCTGTCTATCTATCTATCTATCTATCTATCAATCATCTATCATTCTCTCTCTTATCATTTATCTATATCTAAAGCCAGTGGTGCTGTACCCCCCAACCCAAGTCAGGAGTAAAAGGTGAATTTAGCTCTAAATTTCACTGGTAGTCAGGAATTGCCTGAAATTAGGGATGCTAACCCTATGGTCTGAACATTGTTTGATTTCCCATATTCTTGAACATCTCTAGAACAAAACTTAATGAAATTTAGGTACAATAACAACTTTAGCATAAAATTTATAATAACATATAAAGCTATATATCTGATAGTCATGACTCATATTAAGGGACAAGTGAATAAAAAATTAAAAGGATTAGTCTGACAGTATCTATCATGTATGAAAATTTTATTGCAGAAAGTATACATCTTTTGTGCACAGACATTGGATAACAGTCTTCTTTTTATATGCATGTGACTGAATAGGAGAGCAAAGAAGATCTAGAAAATGAACTGAATACATAAGCAGTGCAGTACACGTATAGAGACATAGAAATAATAGATAGCATTTATTGAAGCTTATTATGTGCCAAGAACTATTCTTAGACAATTTATATGTATATCTTTTTAAATTTCCCCCCCAAGAACATAGGTATTATTGTTATAGCCTATTTTACACATTAAAAAACTGAAGGTAATTGTTCAAGCCCACACAGCTAACCAAGTGGTAGAATTTTTGTTTTGTGATTGTTTTTGTTCATCTCCTTCTTACAGAGACCTCCTTCATACTAAAACCATTAAATATAACCTTGATCAACTCTGATTTAAAGCTCTAAATTATTACTAAGAGTATTGGGCAATATGAGTTAAGTAGGCCTCTTTTTACAACCTTCGTATCCCAAAAGCCATTATCTGTGGATAGAAATAATTTCAAACAAACTTCAGAAAACACAGAAGTGTGGCTTTTTTGGGAATTGTATGTCGTTATATTGTAATGGATGGTTTTAAACACTGAAAAATTTTAATTCAGTGACTTATGAAAGTTCATCCTATTGGATAGCAAAAGAGCCTTCTGGTTAGAGCAGGAGTTTACCCATTTGAATTTGAATGTATCCATTTATAATTCAGGATGATTAATGTAAGAGGAAAAATGGAAATTGTATCTGGAATCATTAGAGTCCCCAAAGTTTGTGAGTTGTTAATCTCATGTAATTATGGGAATTACTGCCTGTACATCCAGATCTTATTGTTCAAATCTCTGCTTAAGTGGAAAGCCAAAAAAATTAATATTTTAATTGAAAAGAATCAACTATGGATTAAAGTATTTTAACACCTTATTCAGAAAAAAGAAAATATAAACCTAAGTCTCATTAAACCAAATAAACTCAAAATCTAGGACATTCTACATATGCCTTAAAGTATATTCCAAATCCTATTGAAGCCGTAATCAGGTTATTGCTAAATATTATTATGTATGGCAAAGCAACCAGAAAACAAAATCTTTGGGAATAATCAGATAATTTCAGCTCCTAAAACTATCCTTAATCATTCTTTTTTGCAGAATATACAACTCTGGCAGTAGCCAGGTTTGAGATTCACACCTGCCAGCAGATGGACTAGGACCTTTGATAATTAGCAGATGTTTCTGTTTTCACAGCAAGGGGGGCCATGCAGATTCTTATTCTCTTAAAGGAAAGGGCAGTCAAAACATGATAAATTGGTTCTTTATAGTAGAACACATGGCAGTTCTGAAACCATTTTAAAAGTTGCTTTAATTCGGGCCCCTTAATTTGGAAGCCCTTAAAATGCAGAAGATAAACTTTCTTGATAAAGAGAGCCTTTATTGCCATTAAACACCTGGTCATAACAATAAAAATAAGCACCAGAGAACAGGTTTGTCCAAGCTCTTTTTAAAAATTTCACCTATGGCTTATAATGGAAAAACATTATTTTGATAGGGGAAAAGTTTAAACTCCTTTATTAATCTTTAAGATTTAAAAAACTTGTCTTGACATTATAATTTAATTTTTAAAACCCTTTTTACTATCTATTGAAATAAAACTGGATATTATTTAAAATTGTAAAATGATTAAGTCTCAGACCATTTTCTAGCATTTTACTTTTCCTTTTTAATACCTAAAATAAAGGCATTGATTTTAAAAGCTGATTCTAGTTCTCAAGTTTTCCAAGGTAACCATGAAGAATATATTAATCAATAAAGTTAAACTCATGACTCAAGAGTTCTGTGACAAGATCAGACTGAAAAATTATCTTCCCTACCACACCCCTTTGTCCCTGGCTTTGGTATTAATTGTTGCTCCTCTTCATCTGTAAGGCCTCTGTTACCATACAACTGCATTTGTGCCTCTGTCTGTGTGATCACCTTATGTCCTCCATGCAGGAATGGAGAAGGGTGACCACAAGCCTAAATTCCTTCGTCTTCCATATTGTAGCAGTTCATACAACTTTTGAGGCCTCCCTTCTTGTCCCTGCTTATGATACATTGGTGTCTGTAGAGTTTTGGTGACATTCTTTACTTATGCCTATTGACTTCTGTGCTCACTGTCATATATGTATATGTCATATATGTGTGTGTGTGTCATATATATACTGTCATATACTACATGTCAACAGCATGTGTATTTCCCATGCACTTCTGGGCTCCTGGTTCTTTCTACCAACTATTTGCTGGTTATCTGTACCTTTGATTCCTTCATGTATCTTTTAGGCATGTGCAAAAATTTGAATCACTAAATAATATCTTCCAGTTTAACTTAAATTAATACCCTTTTTAAAACCTGTAGTTGATTCCTCAATATTATCTTGAGGTTTATTAAGCATAATGATTACTTTTAGCCTTTGTATTTGTAGGGGAGGCAAAATTTTACCTCTGCCCTCTGAGGAGGCTTTTCATCTGAGTCTGAGAATTAAGCTGACATAAGACAAAGTAACAGGAGAAATGCACAGATTTCAATCAGTTTTTATGTCACACAGGAGCAACCATCTGGAAATGAAGACCTAAAGAAATGGCAGGGCCTAAATAATTTTTTGTTAGATTGAACAAAGACAGGCAATTGGGGAAAATTAATTTATGTGAGAGACTAAAGGAAGAGAAGCATTACATTAACAGTCTGTGCGGCCTGTTGTTGGTCTCAGCCTTGCATTGTTGACGATAAACAGGTGAGTTTCCTCCTGTATGGGGAGGATATTTTCCATGAGTTTTACCTCCTACTTTCAGGAGGAGACATTGTGGGGGAGGTCAGTGTAGCCTTCTTTGTACCTACTACTTTTTAAAGTGCCTTTAGCTCAAGTTGATTCTTACATCCACCTAGCATGTTGGGAGATACACAGGGTGATGGAAAGTTTGGAAGAAAGAGGAAAAGGGGGTGGTTACAGAGGCTTTCTTTTTATATGCATCGGGAAGAAGCCAAATTGATAAAGTAATGTTAATGAATGTATTCCTTAGAACACTTCGATGTATGTTATTGCATTAACAAAACTTGGGGTGGTGAAAAAAAGGGGAGATGGAAGGAAGTGGAGAAATGATAAGATCTGACAATGCTAATAGGATGTTTATAATACCATCTACCTGTGAGTTAAGTTTGGTAGAAGAGTACTTTTTTTTGGTAGACTATACTTTTGTAATGTACCAAAGAGTTAAAAACAATACGCTATTCTCTTAGCGTCTCTTCTCTTTTCTGACTTTCTGTATTGATTTAGTTGTACCTCCAATAACATTTTTGTGAGCCTTTGTTGGTAGAAACAAATTCTGCCAATCTTGGCATTGCAAGTCTTAAGGTGAATGTTAGAGAGAGAGTCTGTTCTGAGCAAGCTTTCATTCTTGGTTGAAATAGCAAGGATATCGATGCTCATATTACCCAAAGTAAGTGCTCTGATAAGGATTGATATGTAAAATATTTAACAACAGGTTTCGTATGGCTCTGAACATTCTGAACAATCAGAAGAGCCCCACTCTAAAATCCAATTTGTGTATTTGATGTGTGTTGGCTGATAATCCTGGCTAGCCTGGAGAGACCAGAGAGAATGTCCCAAAGTGCAGGGAGGGGCCTCTAGCCAAGGTTACAGAGGAAAAGGCCTCAGGAAAGTCTTCCTGAGGGGTAGGGGACCCTAGCTGATTCTTTTAAAGGATCTGTAGCATCTAGACAGACTTCTCTTGGGAAAAGGGAAGATAAACATAGAGGCAGGCAGAATTATGTGGACAGTGGAGAAACTTACTGTTCTCATTACTCTGTTTGCTCTCCTAAGATTGTCATTGGTGTTTTGCCCTTCTTTACATCTGTCCCTAACCCCCATACCTCCTACCTGTACTATGCCCAGAGGTGCCATTTGTCAGTTCTAAGACCCTTTATCTCTTTTCCTATACCTCTGCTCTTCCTGCTCACCACTCACCACAGACAGTGACCATAAGAGATTCTAAAAGGCCGAGCAAACCTTGTCAGGAAAGAATAGCCACAGGTCTATGGTTAGGGAAGTTGTTTTTAACTAGCCACCTCCTTTAAGTGAAAACAGGTTCAAATCAAATTGTTGCATTAGGTGAAAGAAGTATTAAGGTAATCATATTAGGAAGCAAAGGAAAATAGGACAGAAAATTAAAGATTGAATCAAGACTAGAAATCAATAAAGTGGACAATAACAGCAAAAATTTTCCAGATTAATTTGCACATGATAAATGAGTTTGCATCATCATTTTTCTGTTTACACATTTATTTAAATGCTCTGGATTGTGAGGCTGGTCATCCAGATTACTAAAGACCTGATCAAGCAGGCTATTGTTGAGTGATTAACTCTAGTGGATGGCCTCCACAAAATAGCTTTTGCTTTATTTTTCTCCAGTGACATATTTTTTATGTTTCTTGCAGGCATTTAGGGAAGAAATTGCACCAATCAACTTAAAAGTTAAGACGGTGAATGATTTGTCCAGCCAGCTATCTCCCCTTGACCTACATCCATCTTTAAAGATGTCTCGCCAGCTGGATGACCTTAATATGCGATGGAAACTTCTCCAGGTATCAGCTTAGCCACTTCAGCCTAGGCTTGGATGACCTTTAAACCCTTCTTAACTATTTTAGGCCATGTAATTATTTTCTTTCTCTTTACTGGTGAGATTTGATGAAGAATTAAGCAAGTAATGACATCAGGTATTTATCTTCTGGTATCTTCAGCCCAAGGGCCTCATTTATTTGTGACTACAGATTCCAACGTAATTTTTATGTACTTTTCATATGACATTTATAGCAAATTGCATAAAATCAAATAAATTACAGTAATTGGAACCCATAGTAGATCCCAGAAACATTTTTTCCCATCATAACTCAGGGAGTTATTTTTTCTTACCTTTAGTATATATATTTTTTCCTTTGAAAATTTAAGAAAGTTTCCCTAATCTTTCTTCAGATTGTTTGCTATTTAGGTGTCTTGCTTAGTTTTTCCAGGTAACACATTTATACTTTATCTCTTAGATCTGAGCTGCTTTATGTTGGTAGTTTTAATGACTCTAGACCCCACTTGCTCGATCCAGATATAATAGAGCCAAACCACAAATAGTTCTCTTGAGATTTCTTTCTAGGTATCAATATTTGAAAGCCACTATCAATGTCAATCAAGAGTTTACGGTTTAGAGCCAGCTCGTGCCTGAAATCCCAGCACCTGGAGGCTAAGCAGGAGGATCATGAGTTTAGGGTCTCCCTGGTCTATATAAAGAGACTGTCTCAAACAGACAAACAAAAAAAAAGCCTCTGGCTCAATGGAGCTGTGTCATATTTGGTGTTGAGTTCCTAGGAATAACAATAATCATTCTTTCCCCCTGAGAATTAGCAGGTCAACTTAAGTAAAAGATAACAAAAATTATTCTTAACTATGTCCTTTCTATAGTTTGGGCCAAATGTGATGTTTAGTAAATATGCAATATCGTTGTAGTATATAAGCCATTTTGTTTGAATTATGTAATATTTTATGGCATGGTTTGGTCTCCTACGTTAATTAAAACATCAAAATACCCAATGGCTCATATTTTATTAGTGGAATTCAAGAGGTAAGAAATGAGTCTATGGTGTTTGGCAGCCTTTCCTCTCTTTGCAAAGAGTGCTAATAATCTGGGATTAGCATAGCAAAATCATTAAAAGTATATGTGCCCACAGAAATGTTTGACCTTCTTTTTTCTTCTGCTTCATCTCTCTAATTCAGTTTTTCATGTGAGGATCCCTGTGGTCTATCTTGATTTACTACTATTTCTGTTATTCTTTTTCTGTTTCTGTTATCACCATCATCTCAAAGATTGCAGGGCAGGGAATTTGTTAAATTTGAAAGAGAACATGCATTCTGTACTTCTTACCTATGATCCTGGTAACTGCTGGAGCTCAGATGTTAGTTGCTGATTGGAACAGAAGAGAAAAATCTATGCTAGCAGGCAACATTGTTAAGTTTCAGGAATAGCATCTTATAAATTATGGCATTTGAATTCTTTGTCTTAATGAATAAAGTACATTCTAATGTGATTTAAATAGCAAACCAGGAGAAACCAGAGCTGCCCAATGAGCCAGACGTACATAAGTTTCATTTAAAAGCAGCTGAGAGTGAGATCTAAATGGAACGGCTGACTAGCACTGCATAGACAAAGAGCAGGGAAAAGGCGGTGGAAATGTCAATAGGCTGCATGCAATTGCTATTGATTCCCGTTTAGTTTCTCAGTGTAACAGCTCTTTGCATGTTTATAATGTAGAGAACGAACCATAGAATATGTACAAGCAAATATAGCAGATAGGACTACACATATATCTCAACCGCAAGCAGACACTTGCACTGGGCAGCTCTGGTAGAGATGATCAGGAAAATCAGAAGATACTCCATACTCACTTGTCTTTTTACTACTTTCTGTCATTCCACTGACTCATTTCTTCTCTCTCTCTTCCTCATTGTCTTCTGTCTGTCTGTCTGCCTATCTGTTTATCCATCTATGTTTTTCCCTCCTTGGAGTATTCCAGGCTTCTTTTTTCATTCACTCCCTATATTCCTTTTTAACCATCTGCCTTACAAAGGAGACATGAGTAACCACTGACCCCATGACCCCACCCTGCCATAAGGTGCGTCAGAAGTTCTGCCTAGAGGAAGTTGGGGCATAAATTCTGGTACCAGATGACCCGGTATCAATAGTAGTGCTGCCACTTATTAGTTCTATATCCTTGATACTTCTTTATGTCCCAGTTTTTTCTTCATGGATAAAATGGTAACGATTATATTTAGCCGTATGGTTATTGTAAAGATTAAGAGAGTTGATTTTGGTCTGGGTGCCAGTGACTCATGCCTGTAATGCTAGCTACTTGAAAGGCTGAGATGGGGAGGATCATGGTTTGAGGTCAGCCTAGGCATACAGTTCACAAAACCTCTATCTCCAAAATAACCAGAGCAAAATGGACTGAGGAGTGACTCACGTGGTAGAGTAACTGTTCACAAATGTGAAGCTTGAGTTCAAACCCCAGTCCCACCAAAAAAAAAAAAAAAAAAAAGTTAATTTGTATAAATTCCTCAGGAGAACACCTGGCATCATTTATTGCTTTATGATGCCAGAAGTTGATTTTCGTATTATTACTTTGATATCTGAAAAGGAGGAGTCTGTGTGAGAAGTAATATCTTGGGCAGTAGTATCATTTATCGTAGTACCCAAATCAAGGATATTATTAAAGGCATTATCTAAAAATCAAATATTTTCATCTGTCTTGTTCATGGGTGTTCAGGTCTCTGTGGACGACCGCCTTAAGCAGCTTCAGGAAGCCCATAGAGACTTTGGACCATCCTCTCAACATTTTCTGTCTAGTAAGTACTAGCAAACTTGACTGATCTCATTAGTTGAATAAAATAGTATATTTTTTCATTTTCACTCAAGAAGCCATATTCTTTGCTGTAAATATATTTACTTGCAGTAGCTCAATATACAAGAGGAGGTATTAACATTGTTAAAAATATTATTTATTGTTTATTATTATACTACTGTGATAATTGGTAAGTCTTTGGGGAAAAATGTCTTTAGATAAGAGTTTTCACTTGATCGTTTGTTATGATAACTAATATAACATCATATCATTGCTTTGTCATATAAAGGTTATGAATTTTTTCACACAAAAATAATTTTTGTATTTTAATATTTTAATTTTTGTCATCTGGGCGCCAGTGACTCATCCCTGTAATCCTAGCTATTTGGGAGGCTGAGATCAGGAGGATTGCAGTGCATGGTCAGCCTGGGCAAATATTCCAGAGACCTCATCTCCTAAATAGCCAGAACAAAATGGATTGGAGGTGTGGCTTAAGCAGTAGGGCGCCTGCTTTGCAAACGCAAGGCTCTGATTGCAAAACCCCAGTTCTGCCCCACCCCACCAAAAAAAGATTAAAATTTTTCTCCACAGAAAGTGCTTGTTAGTTTAACATGCACCTGCAGCTTTTAAAGTTAAAAAAAAAAAAAACCTAACTCTTCATAAATTTTAAATGAGAAAACTTTGGTTTCTTAGGCTCTGTACAGTCATACTTAGCTTTTCTTCTGGGCAAGCATTGCAAATTGAGTTTTCATGTAATATCCTCCAAACAGGATTTTTAATTTTATATATACTTCATGACATCTTAAATAATTTGAGCTCCTTTTTTTATTTATCTCCCACTGCTGAGGATAATAAAGAATATACGATTGAGAGTCTCCCAGATGGAGTTTAAATATTCATTCTGCCTTTTACCAGACCTGTGAATTTCTGAAAGTCTCTTGGTCATAGCATATTTTAACACCTAATTCCTCTGATTACCTTGAGAATTAAGTGGAAAAGGATATAACGTTACACAAAGCACCTAGCCCAGTTCTTGGCACAAATGTTTTCAGCAAATATTAATTCCTTTTCATTTCCTTTAGCAATCATATGTAAGAGAGCAATTTGCTTAATTCAATTTAAGTAAAGTTTAAAACTTAGAGCTAAGCATATTTCTGGATTATGACAACTTCTTTGTATCTATAACCATAGAGAAAATTGAAGTATAATATTGTATCTCAGAAATAAATTGATTATATTTGTATTTTTCTATTAATCTTTTCCCTTGTTGATAAACTGTTTTACCTGAATTAAAGGTCAGGCTTTTCTTTCACATTTTCAAGAATCATAATCAGTCATTTCCTGTCATCCCCCTCACCCCGCCCTCCTACAAGCACACACTTGTCTCCATTTTCTCATATGAACCCATATACAGTTTATTGAGGGATGTGTAGTTCTTCCTGGAATACTGTCTGCTGAGTAAACTCGCATCAATAAATGGGTTTTTGGAGTATTATTTATTAACTATTCCAGATTTCTTATACTTAATTTTATATAATGTGTTAGAGAATGTGAAACTACATATTAAAGCCAAATTATAAAGGAATTTACAAAATAATTGAGACTCTCTTTAAGTTCTAAAGATCAGATTCCTATTAATATTGATGAAGCCCTGCATTTGCAGTTAGCACCCACTCTCCCATTCTAGAAATCACGTTCTTTGAGGAATGAAATATTCTGAAGTTCATCACACTTTGGGAGCGTCCAGCCTTTCATTTTCTAGTGCTGATGGAGTAAGGAAGATGAAGTTATTCAAATCAAAGCAATTATTAAAATGAATGAAAAGCTGAACAAAATCCCTATTAGTAAAATTAGTAATTGTTATCCTTTGCTGCTTAGAATCTTTGGCTCTATTTTATTCCTTGGACTTTAGCTATGGATATAAAATAAGCCAATGTAATTAGGAACAAAATAAAAACTGACCTATGAGCCTAGTGCCAACACTGAAATGAGGTTGGCTCTAATGAAAAATTTAATATACCTAGCTCCTCATTTTCATCCCCCACATCCCTTCTCCTTCTTTCTCCCTCCTTCTCCTCCTCCTCCCCCTCCCCCCACCCTCCTCCCCCTTCTTCTGGTTGTAGTACTGGGGCTTGAATTCAAGCTCAAGGTTGAAAGGCAAGCTCTACTGCTTGAGCAGCACCTCCAGCCCTTTTGTTTTCTTTTTTAAGATAGGGTCTCATGCTTTTACCTGGGCCAGCTTGGACAGTGACCTTCCTATCTCCATTTCCTGAGTAGCTAGGATTTCACTTCTGGACCACCAAGCTGGGCTTCGTCCTCTGTTTCTGCTTTCCTGGATGCAGTGGGAGAAAGGGGTACTTGTATTTGATGAAGAGAGAAAGAATTTTTGAGTAGAAAACTTTCTGAACTAGTATTCCTAGACCTGAAGTCAAATCTGAGCTCTGCATTTATTTACTAGCTATCACTTTTGGGGAAGTTACTTTATCTGTGTACTTAATTTCTTCTCCAATGAACAAAACTTTATGTGTATTTTGCTGACTTTTAAAGCAAAAGATATATTTGAAAACGCTTAGTAAAGTTTAGAATGCTATATGTTTGTAAGATATCAATCTAATATGAAATTCAGAAAGAAGTCATCAGTGGCAAGAATACATGAAGGCCTATTGATATTTGCAAAAGTTTGAGTTTGCTTATTAGTTCATTTAGCAAAATTCCCTCATAGCTTTCAGTTTACATGTGGTACTCTTCTTAAGTCTTAAAATAATTGGTTTAATGTAGTAATAACATATTTTTGCAAGTAAGGAATAACTGAAATTATAAAAAAGTAAGTACATCAATAAAAAAACCTAAGATTTTTAATAATTTCTCCTGCACAAGCAGGAAGCTGTGTGTTTTGTCTATTTCAAATGAAAATAGGTTCCCGGGATTCTTCTGCCCAGGTGATTGGCTTGATTCTTTACAACCCTTTGCCCATTTTTATTTTCATTTTTCTGGCTTAATTTCATATAATTGAATTTGTTTAAGTACCCTCTAAATGTGATTTGTCTGAATATGAGACAAATTAACAAATATTATTTGAATATTGATGCAAAGTAATAAATATTATTAGTGATCTGGAAATTCAGTCTTGAAAAAACTAGTTTTTAATCTGGATATAAAATATATACCAAGCCTAGTTTCCAGATGGTACTAAGTTTTATGTTGTGATGGTTATAAACAATACAACCTGATTTTTTTTAATGGTATTTTTATCAACAGATTCAGTTAGCTCAAATTGGCATTAGAAATTGAACCTGTGTTGTTTTTTCCTCACTTCAAATGAATCTTTAAAACCATTCTGTTTGGCGTAGTACATTTCATAGTAATAGGAATGCAGTTCAAAAGCCAGAACAGGTCTCACTGGATTTGCTATAAAATGTGTTCAGTTGTTTTACATTAAGGTGTGAGGCCTTGGATTTACCAGTGTTTCCAATAATCTCGCTTTGTTTCCTCAGCTTCAGTCCAGCTGCCATGGCAAAGATCCATTTCACATAACAAAGTGCCCTATTACATCAAGTAAGTTGACTTTAATTCTCCCTTGTGATACCAAGAAGATTGATTATTTAAGAGCTCCCCCCATAAGATTTAAAAATAGAATTCAGACCTATTATCTGGAGGAAAAAATGGAGTCAGAATGATAACTATCATTTATTAAGTTTTCCTTGTTTTGGGGAAAGTTTATTTGCATTATTAATTTAGACTCATCACCTGTTTTGGCTCTTCATCATCACGAGTCTTGTTGACTTAGCTTTCCCTCTCTTGGCACCATTTCTCTTCTTATGTGAGAGTCTATAAATTTTGTATCATGTACATAGTTTAATTCTTGGCTTTATCTATGTATCACCACAGGACAAAGTGATAAAATTGTACTTTTTCCATCTCTTGAAGTGTAAGTTAGTAACACCATTGATTTATAATATGTCACATTATAAATCAATGGTGTTACTAATTTACAGCGGTAAGAGTCATGGATGACCTTATTTTATGTGTATGTGAAGTGTGTCATAATTGTGGGGATGCACACCTATCCTCAGGTGGCATCTGTGTCTGAGATGAGCTGTGTGACCTCAGTCAGGTTGGGTAAAGATCTCTGTGCCAAGTTTCCTTTATCATTCCGAAAGGTAACATCTCCAAAACTACACCCTTGCTGATCATTCCCTCTTTCAAGTCTGTTTCTAAAAACTTGGGAAGCCAATGTTAGTGAAATAGCATTGTCTTATGAGTCTCTTCTTATAGTCTAAAATGTAATTTCAGATTTAAAAACCTTTCCACAACATGTAGCAAATATAATAAGCAATATATGTTAGGTTGTCTTGTGAGAATTTCATTCTCTTATGAGAATATTCAGGTGCAATGTCTAGTGTCCTGAGTTGTGATGAATTTATAACAAGGTATTGAAGTAGTTGATCTGTGTCTAATTTGTACAAGTGTAAATGGAAAGAATTCAGAGGGAGGGCAAATTGGCATGTCTTTATTGATACAGATGTGATCATTTAATTCAAATTTAAAACCATTTATTTAGGTGGTACTGTGGCTTGAACTCAGAGTATTGTGCTTACCAGGTAAGCACTCTACCACTTGAGCCATAACTCCAGTCTTTATTTTTTAGTTTATTTTTCAAATAAGAACTCACTATTTTTTTTACCATTGATGGCGTTGAACCAACCCATCTTTGCCTCCCGTGTAGCTGGGATTACAGGTGTGTTCCACCAAACAGTTGGCTCAAATTTAAAACATTTAATAAATATTTTTGCATATTTATTTCAGGTAATAACAAGAATAACTACTAGTAGTAGTAAAGTGGTATAGAAAATTTAATTTGCTTGGGTTCATATCAACTTGAACTAGATTTAAATTTGAGGCAAAATAATGTCCCTCCTTCAAGATGTGCACATCCTGAATCCCTGGAATCTGAATATGTTAGGTTGTATAGCAGAGGAGAATCAGGGTGGCAAATCACTGGACTTTAAATTAGGGAGATTGTCTTGATAGGTTTAATGCAAGCTTGAGGGTCTCTAAAAGTGGAAGAGAAGAGAGGTCAGACTCAGAGATTTAAAGATGCTACGCTGCTGGCTTTATAGATGGAGGAAGAGGACCATGAATTTGGAAATGCAGATAGTCTTGAGAAACTGGGAAGAAAATGAAAGGGGATTCTTCTAGAGCTCCAGTGAGGAACATAGTCCTGTTAAGCTTGATTTTAGTCCATGGAAAACTAATTCATGTACTATACAAAATCTAGAATTCTATGCAAATGAATTAGAATAATTAATTGACTGACTTGGTGAGAGTCCTCTATAATCTGATTTTTTTAAAATGCAAGCTAGATCTTGAGCAGATTTTTATTTTACTGCACAATATCTAAACTGTCATTTATGTTTAGACATTGGTCTTCTATTTGGTTTCGAATTTTAAAAGCCCATCTTCAATGCTAACTCCACTAGTAAAGGAATTTTTTATGCCCACATCAGTTATATGTGACTGAGAATTAAATAGACTAAACAGAATTTCTCTAATTCAGACTGTTTATCATTTTGGTAGGATCCACTTAGATTGTATTCTTGCTCAATCCTAATTCTTCTCATAGATTGGTAGTGTGAAAGTTAGTTTACCTGACGTCTCATTGGCTACACCTATAACCAGCATTTGAAAGAATATATATAATCCAATGGTGGCCAGTAGTTTTAATGATGACGTTTAGCACTACAGCATCCTAACTGTCTTCTATGTCCTAAGTAAAAGATTGGATTTTCTTTTTCCTTCTTTTTTGAAGATTGTATTTGTTTTAATTTTCCAGTTTTCCTTCCTACAATATTACATTGAAAAGAACCTACTTTAGAACATTTTGGGTTTTTTCCTCTCATTTTTTGACATTTTAAAAATTTTTTTTCCGTTAATTTTTTTTATTAAGATCTGTCTGTTATACAGGAGTGATCAATTGTGACAACTCCAAATAGGCTTATATTGCACATTGGTTAGATCACCCCCACCATCTCTTCCCCGTTGACATATATGATTTTAGTTTTAAATGTCTTTAAGACATTCAGATTTTTAGAGCATATTCGTCTGTTCTTATAAAACTTGTTTAACCAGAACCTTTCATTACTTGTTCTGTTGTGCAACTTTATAGTTTATTTCCTCATAAAAATGGAGCATCAAACTTGGGAGATAGAGTTATAAAAGTCAGTATTTTGCATGAAGAATTGTTATGAAAACAAAATTTAATTCCCAAACAAATTAATAAGCAAGCAAATGTTAACTGAAAAGTCCTTTAATCTACACTTCCCTTTGCATAGCTACATAAATGAATAGAAGAAAAATGTTAGAAACCTGTTCAGCTTGATTGTCACCCCACTGGAATTTCCTGGGGCAAATTAGAATGAATTGCAATGGCCAAAAAAATAATAATATTCAAGTAGAAATAGTAGATATTTTCAGTTTTTAAGTATATAGTTTAATATATTATAATATATATATGTGCTGTAATGCTAGGCTACAGCAAGAAAAATTGGAATGGGAATGAGAACAGATTATGTTTATTGCATGTTTTATTCATCTAAGTTAGTTACTTTGTACTTTTATGGCTTCTCAGCGCATTTCTGTCACTCAGCAGTTCGCCATTAATGTTTTGAAATGTATTAGAGTGAATGCATGGTCACTTGTTTCAAAGAATGATAGACTGTAGATCTGAGTTGTAATTGTATACGTGGTGTGAATTCATGTGTTTGTCAGTATCTGTGTTGGTCAGCTTTCCTACACAGTAACAAATGCCTGAGGTAATGGTTTATTTTGGCTCTAATCCCATGGCTATTTGCCCATTTCTAGTGGGCCTGTGGCAAGTTGGAACCATCTGGAAGAGCAGAACAGCTCATCTTATAGCCAGGAAACACAAGCGAGGAAGAGGAAAGGACTTGGGTCCACAGCCCCCTTCAAAGACGCACTCCTCCCACAAACCCCCACCCTTAAAGGTTCCACGCCTGCCCAGTAGCACCACTCCAGGGAGCAAACTTAGACACATAGGCTTTTGGAAAATATTTAAGAGCTAAACTGCAGCAATACCTACAGTTGAAACACATGTTTATATCTGCTGCCTAGAGGAGGACTTTCTGAAATGGATCTACTTATTTTTCTTATAGAATCCAATGGCAGCCCACTATACTGTGAGTTTAAGAAAATTTGACTTGGCTTCTGGTGTCTCTGTGATACACAAAAATCTACCATAAAAACCATATCTCTTTTTAGTCACATATTTGTGTTTTGCACAAATTGTTCATTTCCTCAGCTAAAAGTTAATCTCCAAGAAACTTGGGAGGTAAAAGGAAAGATGGATAAAAGCTTTGTGTTAAACCGTCTTAATATGCCTCATTAATAATGTAAAAATCATTGCTTTTCATTTTGCTCCAGAAAATAATAACAGAACAGTAATAAATAGTTATAATGGCTGATTGTGATGATCACTGACATAAATTACATTTTTTGAATACTCATTTATTTGCCAGCCACTGTGCTAAATCCTGTGCATGGATGGTTTCTTTTAATGATGTCAGAAGCAACATGATGTTTAGGTACTATCATTATCCTCCATTTATAGTAACTAATAAGTACATTAATATATTATTATTACACATGCAGAGCCTGCTTGAGATAATGCAGCCAGTAAGTGGAAGAACTAGTGTTTAAACCTAGGAACTGTCTCCAGCTCAGGAACTCTTGCCAGCTCTACAGTACTGCCTCCTGGTCCCTGTATTAAGGCAAAGACCTGAAATTCTTAATCACATAGAATGTTGGGTAGGATGAAGGTGTGTATTTAGGAAGGAAAAGAACAGTGGAGGAAGTATGAGCAAACGTCCTTTCTTTCATATTAGAGACTGATTGCCATCAATTATGCACCTATAAAGTGCCAGAAACTATGCACAGCTGTCCGAAGAGATCACCCATGCCTTCTCCAGTATCCCACGCTTCCTTTGTATAGGCTTTTCCTTGGGTTTCTCTGTGTTTGTATGTTTAAGGAAAGTTTACATGGTGGTCTGGGAACTGACCAAGTTGCTTTTCAATAGATAAGACAATGTCATTCTCCTGTCCTGCTGGTCAGACTCTGGCAGGAATTCTGAAAAAAGAAAAGCATAAAGGGAGATTGTAATAAATTGAAGGGGATTTCTGTTGGTGGCTAGATTTCTGTTCATGCGTAAGATGGCCACCAAAGCTGACTCACAGGTTCCATGGGTCTTACACATGGTTGTCTACACATCCAGCCCGTTGCTGAGGCATACTTCTTACCAGGATATAGGAAGGTGAGTTAGTTGGGGTGGTTTTCCTTTCTTCCCCTGTGATGTCTTTTCTAAACCCTAACGGCTTTACTTTTAGCAAGGCTTCCTTTTGGTACAAATAATTACCTTGTCCTTGGGACAGGGCTTCACCATTACAGCTTAACAGTTCTACAATTCTTATTTTTTTCACCAGAACCTGACGTGCATACATTAGTTCTGTATAGAACCCTAGTGTGGTGGGCGTTTTAGTAG